GTTACCTGAACATATTCGTAAATTTGTTCTTTATTATTATTATTATTATTATTATTATTATTATTATTTGTTTGGATTATTTATGCGTATTTAATATCGTGCGCCTGGGATATATGCAACACTTAATACTTCGCCGATGATATTGCTTGGTTATAATCTACATTATCGACAAAGTAGTCCGGTTTACAATTTTTTCAATGATAACAATAATTAATAATTAATAAATAATTATAAATGATCAATGTTACTTACACAAAAGATTATCATTAAATGCAACAGCAAGCTGTTCCGGACTTAACCATCTTAATAAAGCACCATAACAACCGGCTACGGCATTTCTTGTAACATCCTCCGGATGGCCAAGCATGCTGTTCAATGTAACGAATACTTGTTTCTTCATCGGTTCTGTCATTTTATCACCGGCAGGTGTAAGAACACCACGTAAAGCTTGCAACATTGTTTCTCTGAAAATTAATCATGCAAGGAATAAATTTTCTTTTCATTGTAATCAAAGTTTTACGTATTGCGAAGAAATAAACGAACCTTATGGCCGGATCATCACCGGTTTTAATGCCAGTATGAAGTTCAGTGAACAATGGATCGACTCGAGTATGTATAACGATCAGATTGCTCAAAGCATATGCTGCCTTTAACCTGACTTGACGATTGCTATCGTTCAATGCTCTTAAGAATGTTGTTTGCAATTGAGGTAAAAATTGTTTAAGCATAACACCAACCTAACGATATAAAAATGATCTCTCAATCGTGTCTCTTTAAATAATATATAAGAATATATTATTTTTGATGTAAAGATTTACAAACCTTGCCAAGTAAAATAGCAAGCGTCTCAAGTACAGCAGCTTTAACGCTCCAATTGAAACGATCACCAAGTATTCTAATCAATGGACCAGTGATATGTACAACACTTGGTTGAAGCGCGGAAGCGCTGGTCAATTTAATGACTTCTCCTAATCCTTGAGCAGCCTGTTCCTTTGCCTCAGGTAAACCATTTAATATTGCTTCTCTAAATATAGGAAGTATCGGTGTTATACCTTTGGGTAAACAAAATCCAGGTAATAATTCTTGTCCTTTTAAGTCGGATACTGCAAAACGAACAGCTTGTCTGATATCCTGTACGTGAGTGATTTGTTGATCGGATGCCAATGTCTATAAAAAAAAAAAAACAGAGATGATAGTTTGTGTAAAAGTTATTAACGTTTTTTTTTTTTCTTTTTTCCTATAATCCTTGGACTTTTATTTTTATGAATGAACTATTGAACTATTGAACTTGCCTTGGTGACCGCAGTAAGAGCTTCCCAACTCATTTGCAATACGTCCTTATCTTCGTCGGTAAAGAGATGAATAAGTCCGCGCAAAAGTTGTGGTACATATTGACTATAATCGGCTCTAGTGTCACGACAAAAGGCACAGAGTAATGTTGCCGCGCTTCGTCGTCTCGATGCATCCTCCGATCTGGTAGCTTCCATTAATTGATCCATGACCGTTCTAACACCAACTTCGTCGGTAACCGAAAGAATAACGGCTTGACAGTACTCTAATTCCTGTACCTCATTTGGAGTTCCTTGAGCGCTAGAAAGGGCGGTCAATAGGGCTGGTAAGATCTTATGTAGAAATCTCGTTAATGCTTCTCCAGCGACACTGGCTAAGATCGATAGAGCTTTTGTATTAACAGGCGGAGTTGTTAACTGAGGTACTAAATAAGGTAATACGACGCGTGATTTAATTGCCATTACTTGGCGTAAACCATCTAACGTATTTTCAGCTTCGGCTTGATCAGGTGAATTTAATTGCGTTAACATAGCTGGAAGTATATCGTCTAAAGCCCGAACACCAACTGTTGAATGTAATCCATCGAAAGTTTTTGCTGCTGCTTGACGAACTTCGGGCAATGGATCGCACAAAGCTTTTCTAGAATTCAAAGTTTATCATAGTATTGATCGAAAACTATCGTAAACATTGATAATAACTAATGTATACGAGTTATGATAAAATATACTCACCTAACAGTTGGTACCAAACTGATGACAAACGTTAAGACCATATCTTTGTTTGTACTAGCCATGATCTCAGAAAGACCAATGCAAACACCTTGCCTTTGATCAGCCTGTTCACTCTGAAGACCCTTTTCCAAAATCGGTATAATTTCTGGAAGTACTCTTTCTCCTAATTTTCTTACAAGATCACCCAACGTTCGTGCAGCCACTTGTCTCTTATCGTAACTCGTGCTTGCCAAACATCCAAGTAAAAGGGTAAATAGAGTTGGTAATATTTCTCTTAATGTCCTCGGTGTATTCGTGACAACTACCTTCCAAACGTGAAGAGCAGCTTGACGTACCATCAGAGCTACGTCAGATCTACCCATGTAAAGGCCAGCTAAGACTCGATTACGTCTTTCAGCGCCTAAAGCATTGATGATGGCTAAATGTGATTGTTCTGTTCCAAAGTTATCGTCTTCGCTTGCTGTCTCAGTTGACATCTT